CTGCTGAAACTATTCAGTTCCTTAACGGATCGCATCTTCTCGTCCCCTTGTAGCCAAGGAACGAGAGGTCACGGCCGTGCTGAAACTCCTCTCCCACACCGCTCGGAACTTCCCCGGAGTTTTCTTCTACGGCAAGGCAGCGGCAGTCCTCCCTGTTATCGGCCGTGTTCTCCCATTCCTCGCTGAGCCCACATTCCGGTTTAGATAATTCCTAATCTCTAATCCTAACCGGAAACCCCATTCCGACTGATCTATCTTTACTTGCAGGTCCCTCCACGAGCTGATCTTCGAAACTGCATCGACCCTGCTTTCGTTGCTCCGCACGGGAGAGCGAGATGCTTACTGCCAGTTCTTCCAGGACGCTATGCAGGCTGTCGAAGGTGTGGTTTATTTTAATTTCTCATTCTTAATTCACGAATTTTAATGCTGCCTTCTTCTCCAACCCCCTTGGTTGCAGATATTGCTTATGTGGCATACCTGCACCAGGACATGGTGCTATCAAGGAGTGTTTCGTTGAGGTGCTTCTGTGAGACATTTGCTTTAATTTCTACTTCCACATCGCTGTTCAGCGAGATTCCTGCTTGTTGTCAGCCGGAGGATGGCGCGGGTATTGCAGTTGATCTCGGCGAGAAGACTCGGTGGCAGTCGTTTGCTGCATGGATTATTAGGCTTCTGAGCAAATGCCTTACCGATGGGACCCTTTATGTGGAAGGGTTAGTGAATACATCATTTGTTTCTGCTGCCTGCTATCTTTTGTGCCACGGCGATGGGACTTTGCATACGGTGGGTGCGATTTTACATTCCTATTCTCCTCGCTGTTTTCTTATACTTCATACGTGTTTTTGCATTTTCCCGGCTTCTGATCTCTTCTTTTGACAAACAGGCTTGTTTTGAGTTTGTACGTATTACAATGTCAGTTGTAGATGCTGACATAATTCCGGTGGAAAATTTCATTCGTTCAATTGTATGCATTCTGCAGCATGATGAGGAAGAACATGCTGTTTTCAGGTATTATATATATGTTGGTGGATGTCCTTCTTCTTTCTATGGCTTTACTAAACGCCGTGGGTGTTATTGTCGTTTGAGTTATGAAATATTTTAGGCTGAGGAGATACTCTGAGCAGTGTAGATGGTGATAAGAGCTTTTGGGTGAGAGAAGGACGGGAAGGGTGAGAAAGGGGGAAAATAAGAACAACGGGAGGGGGAAGAATCCTTTGCTTTCTCAGCGTCTCTTCACTTACTAGTGATTTATTCCTTGTATTTAGGTTTTTTGTCGCAACTCTCGCTAATTGTACCTAGGATTCACTGGACAACGTTGCATGGGGTATTAAAGGGGAGCTCTAGGTCCTTAGTAGGAACAAGGGTTTTTGTGCACGTGAATTCCTTCGTTGAGCCCTCAGTAACAGTTGCCTCCTGTCCCATTTTCTCTATTAGGTCCAGCTTGGCAAAAATCCTAGGGAATGCCTACTTTATAGCAATGATAGAGATTCCAGAAGAATATGGCTTCATGTATACTCTAAAAGATGGACTTGGGTAGGTGGGATCCAATTGCCAGCCGAGACCAAAGAAGAGCTCATGATGAATTTTTCATGCAGGGTTTGAGCTGGATATTCCATTCGGATCCATAAAGTAGTTTTCTAGCGGTGCTTTGGGCGTACTTGCTAGCAGATTTGTAGAGGACTCCAGAACCTCGACTCAAAAGGACTAACCAGCTGAGTTCCAAGAGAACATCACCCAATCGGGTTTAAGTCATTTGCCAGCCAAAAACAAGGCAAAGACAACTAGAGAGAGATTACCCATAGGCTCAAGAAGAACAAACTTAAAGGCCATCACTGGATTCGTTGGATTAATTCAGCTCAATAGTCATTAATGGTTGAAGAAGCCTCTCAATACATACCTCCGGATGTCCAACGACTTATCTTCATTTAAGTTCATGTCTACATTTTGGCTACAATGTATTGTATTATTTTATATTTATCATCTGTATATCTTATTTTATTACTTTTACTTTAGCACTAGATCCTTCCTTATAAATAGGTGTTCTTGGAGAGAACCAAGGGTTCCAAATTTCACGTTCAATCACTATACCCTTTGAGCATTGATAATGTTTTGTCCCCTTATTTGCCTCATCTCTATTCAGCCTTTCACATTTTTTGAATTAGTAAAATTCTAATATAACTATGGGCAGATTTAGATCCAACATCCTAAAATGTCTCCCTCCATTAATTCATTAGCAAATGCCACGATCATTAAAAGATTGCATGCTATTTCTTAGGTTGTGATTAACAAAATTTGATGGCGAGATGGAAAAACAATAGTTATGATGTAGAAAATATTCTAAAAGCTGCTAAGTTGCTTCATGTTTGTCACCCTCTTTATCAAGTCATCAATTTCTAGAAAACTTAAATCTCTGGATCTTAGTTGTTGATTCCTCAATTTTGAGGGCTTCGCCTCTCCAGCGGCCCATGTGTTAATTGTAATTTGCTGATTTTCTTTCTTGGGAAAGTTTCTTCTTCCTACGACATCACATAGGGTGCGGCCTAGAGAGTGTTCAATGCATTTTAAAAATTGGGTTAAATAAATGGTGTCAGTGGGAAAGTATACTTTATTAGGGATTTTTTGGTCTATTGCAAAAGAAGTAGACTGCATTTCTTTTGCATGGATTTTGAGAATCCAGACGTTTAGTTGGAAGAATTCCAATTGTAATGTAAAACAAGAACGTATTTAGAGTTCATTTCTTAGTTCATTTTCTATGCATTTGAAATTTGATGGATTTGGGCAAATTCTAAATACACAACTCTATGAAAAGGGTTGCCAGCTGCCATCGCTGTTCGCCACCATTGTTCATCCCCAATAGCTGCCAGCTGCCAGCCGCCGCCAAAGCTCTAGGTTCTGGCTGCTAGTACTATCCGCAGTCTTCTTTGGCAAAAACCAACTCCACCACTTTCGGCTACCGTTGCCACCTGCCACCACTTACCTACTGCGTCTTTGACTGCCAGTAATTTATGTAAGACCACACATTCTTTAAATTATTTTATTTTCATTATACTTCAAGCCAAACAAAAAAAATAAAATAAAATCACACATTTATCTTACAATATATTAAACAACTAAAAAAAAATTACAAATACAATGCATTGCCTCTACATTGCATTTATTTTATACGACATTAATTTTTGAACAAACCAAACAACCTCTTAGTGATTTTCAAGGTCTATATGCTTGATATTCTTTCTAGTGGATTCATAAAGGAATTTATATTTACAATAGAAAATTGTGGATAATTTATGATTAGCTATTTTTGCTCTATGCTTTGAGTAAACAGTGCTCATGATATGAGCTTGTACTAGACCCGAGGGGAAATTAGACTTTGTTTATAATTTTCAAGTTTTGACGAGGTTAATTTATTTATGAATTCATCAATTGCTTTCTAAGTTTTTCGTAGGTTATTAAAGAAGCATATATATAAATATAAATAAATAAATAAACTAATAATATATTGTAAATCAAGAATGTGCCAGCATGGAACCTGAAGAGATTCAACAGTCCAGAAGGAAGTAAAACAAAGGACGATCCATCGACAGGAGACCAAGAGGCTCGCTTAATCCAATTGCATGTTGCCATCTGAGTCAAGTACGAAAGCCAACCAAGCCAGGAAAAGGAAAAAAATAATGATCCAAGTTTGAACCGATCAAACAAGTGTTTGACAGGTAAGCACTTGAGATAACCATCCCCAGAAAGCCGAGCGAAGGTATCAACCTAACTCGACAATTCCGACTAGAGGAAACAATCCAGTTCCTCAGCATCACGAGCCGTCCCAAGGACTCCCTCGAGGTTCCTAATCAGGAACAAAAAATTGATAACATAATAAGCCTCCCAATCACCCCGTATGACTCTCTCATCAAAGAATTAATTATAGAGTTACAGTGATTCATCATTGGCTCGATAGCTTAGCCTCGTTTTGTCAACACGAGCTCCTCACCTAGGGATTAAGGGTGGATGAACAAAATAGATCAACCATTCAACAAAGCCTAGAGGACCGAGTCAGTCCTGCTGACCTGAAGCAAATTTAGTCCAGTCGACCAGCTGCATCGACTCAACCCAACCGACCAAATTGGCTTTACTGAGCGGAAGTCATGCTAACTCTGTCAGTCAAGTCATAAGGCAACTGAGCAATAGGCTCGTACATGTCAAATATATAAAATAACTTATAAAACTCACATTAAAGCAGGGGCAGAAATGTAATATCACATATTGTATCATCTCCATTGTGCTTACTCAAATAAGCCCGCGCGGTCTATTTTGTCATTCGAGGTTGTCTGGACAAATTCGTTGATGATTGAGCCAATTGAAGTCCGATGCGTGCGCGACGTGGTGAATGAGATCATTTGGTTTGATTGGAGCCGTCCGAGAAGCAAAATGCAGATCGGCCTTCGCCTGAGTGAAAGATAAAGTTTAACAGAACAACCCCAACCGCGTGCCCTTAAATATAGACTGAAGAGTATCATATTGGATGTATTGAGCTCCTGGAAAGGACACACGTGTGAACTATAGTCCTAATGCGCTTAGGTGGACATCCCACACATACGACATCAAAAGTGATGCCAACTTATATATATAATTACCTTATTTCGAGCTAAAACGAGCCTACCATGGCTGAAAAAAGAGTTATTTGCATTCAACTCATTTATAATTTGAGATTAAAAAAATTGTTTATTTTCGACTCGTTTACTTTACAAACAATTCAAATGCGAGCTACATAACAAGTCAAACAAGAATTGTTTGCGAACAACAAGTTTTTTTTGTCAGCCTTAGTAGTGCGCGTGCATACTATAACCTTATGGAATGCACATCCCTCCCTTCCCCCCCCCCCCCCAACAAAATATTCCACTCCAAGGTGCCTGACATACCCGTGAGATTATTGGTGGACTATGAGGCCCAATCTCTTTGTTACCATTATACATCTCCCAATCATTTTTACATAATTTTGGTTATGATACATTGTTGTAAAACAAAAATTACTGACCAATATCAGCAAAATCATCATCACAAGTTCTCACAATCTCACAATCTTTATCTTGACTCGAGTTTCAAAAAGGAGAATTAAAAAACAAAATTTCAATCTTCAATAAATATTCTCCACCTGTTTCATGAAACTTTCAAGGTCAATAATGAATATCAACTAAGTCTAAGTAAGACTTAAACTTAGATATAGCAAATGCTTTAGTCATCATATTATTAGGCTTATTATGAGTACTTTCTCACAATAATATCACAATGAATGATAACTTCTTAAATAAAGTGATAATGAATATCAATGTGATTAGTTCTCTTACTAAACATTTGATTTTTAATGAGATAAATAATAGTTTATCATCACACATCACCGTAATAATCTCTAATTCTTTACTAAGTTCTTAAAAAATCTTTAATAAAAATACTTGCTTTATAAGATTCAATAATTGCCATGTATTCAATTTCATTCGTAGACAATGTTATTGTAGTTGGCAGGTTAACATTCTAGCTAATAGTATAACCATCGATAATAAGCACATATCATGTAAGTGATATGCTCCTATCAAGGTTTCGAGTAAAGTTTAAGTAAATATAACCGATGACGTAATATGTAGTTTTCCCAAACCAAAAACAAATATTTTTAATTTCACACAACTATTTTAGTATCCACTTAGTCATTTTTTTATCTTCTCATTAAGATAAGCCATGCATCTACTGACTACACTAATTTCCTATAATAAATTTAAATGAAAATATATCTTAGCATACATGATAAATCCCACTATACCGATATATGTAACTCGAGATACAAACTGAATCTCATCATCTTATTGTGGACGCAAAATTGATGACAGTTTGAAATGTGCGGCTAATGAAATATTAATAGATTTGGTATATTGCATATTGAATCTATGCAAGCCTTGCCTTTCGATCTCTTTAAATTTTTATGTCACAGTCCTTTCGCAACATCTAAAGCTTTCTTCTCAAACTCACTATTGAGTTAAGTCTTCAACTTCATAATTTCTTATTTATTCATGGTAGTTTTCAAAATATTATCAACATATGAGAATAAGTAGATAAATGGCCTATTGTCTTTTTTCTAAAGTAAATACCGTTATCACATGTACTAATTAGCGATCATGAATGAGTCAAATTTATTGTGCTACTGCTTATGAGACTATTTCAAACCGTGAAAAAAAGATTTCTTCAACGAACAAACAATGTTCTTTACATGTACTCACAAAATCTTCTAGTTGCTGCATATTAAATGTCCACCTCAAGCTCTTCATTCAAAAATGTAAATTTTACATCTATCTAAACTTAGGGTTATGGTTTATCACAAACGAAGCAACTACTGAAGATAACATATTTATAAATGCTACGCTTTGAATTTGAATGAATCCCTCTGCAACTAATCTTGCCTTGTATATGTCATCTTCAACACTCTGTGTACATTTTTTTTTAATAACATATTTTCAGTTTAACATAACTTCCCTAAATCCTTAGTGTTATTCTTGTATATGGATTTATCTCCTTCTGAATAGTAATCATTCACTTATCAATGTTTATTGAATTAATTGTTTTTTTATAGCTTGAAGGTTATTTGCCACACTCAATATCTTTGGCCATAGTTAAGGCATGAGCAATCAAATTAGCCTCATCATATCTACGGGTGTCTTAACTATTCTCGTTGGCCTATCATTGGTGATAGAATTTTGCGGTCGTTGCAGTTGTGGCGATGAAGAAATTGCTTTGTCATGGCTCGTTGAACTTGATTTAAAAATCGTATCGGATAATGTAGTTGTCTCAATTTGAACCTCAACTTATTTGCCAGATTTCTCCTCTTGGTTCATATCACTAGATCTTGTAATAGGTGTTGCGCATAATATGATAGTCCCATCAAACACATCTCTATTAAGGTTCACTTTCTTGATTTTTGGGTATCATAACTTATAGCTCTTAACCCAAATCTTATAATCAAGAATATACATTTCATAGATCTAGGCTCTAATGTACCATTATCATTATATGTATAAACGAGTAATCTGCAGGTTTATCTGACTAAACCTCATACAAAGCTTCTTACAGTAGCATTGGAAGGAGTGTGATTCACCAAATATTAAGCTGCAACGGTATCTTGAGCCCATAATGACCTTAGCAGGCTAAAATTAAGTCATTGAATCTTCTAAACAAAACTCTAAGCTATTATTGGTGCAGAAATATTTGATCTGCTTACCAGTTTAATTTTCAATCATAGTCTTGCACTCTTTAAAAATAACATAAACATCACTCCTATTTCACAAACAAGGATCTTAACTTATTCTGTTTCACAAATAAGGATCTCAACTTTTTCAGAGAAGAAGTGGAAATAATGACATTGCCTGTCAGTTCAATTATCTGATAAGATTCCTTTGGGAAAACTCTCCAAATAAGTTTCTTTTAATTTATAAGCTCCTAAACTTAGCTTGTTGTTAGATTATACTTGCTTAATTCACTCATTCTATGTACACCAAGCTTTAATTAAGAACACTATGGTCACATCTTAGGACAAACTGACCTGCTTCTTGCAGAAACCTTGTCTATGATTCTTCTGTCGGTGCTTGTTTTCATGTACTGCATTCAACTTGTCAAGATGAGATTGTCAAATCTACAGCCAGTGAAATAGTTCGAGTTTTCCCTAAATTATTGCAAAGTACAGAAAGCACTGAACTTCAGGTTATTTTCATGCTTCTTTCTCCAGAGTTCCATTTAAGCGATTAAGCGTGTAGATGGAATGTGCAAGTTTTTATTTTTGTTTTAGGTAGCATTGTGCAGTGCATACATACGTATTGCAAAAATTTGTCCCATAAATATATGGAAGCCGGCACAGCTTATTAGAGTACTATCCTCGTCAAAACCCTGTTTGTCTCTAATTGAGTGTATTCAAATGGCTGCCTGTGTTCTGGATTCATTTCATGCTTGCAATGATTATGTTGTTTGTCAAGGCATTTCATGTGTAAGTGGCAAAGATTTTGATATTGCAAAAGTTGGCGAAAAAAGGTCTACACAGAGCACTCATTGTGACATAAAGCGACAAAAACTACAGGACATAAAAGAATTTCCTATTGTTGATATTCATATTAGTTGTGAACCCAATGAATCCTCTTCTTGTGAAGATAATAAGAAATGTGTAAATGATCTACAAATTACACTTTCCAAATTTATCGACTTTTCAAGGCCTGAAAATTGTGGAACTTCTCCTTTGCGGCCAGAAACTTCAATAACGGCTCTTAGTCTGCTCTCTACTGCATTTTGTCTATATCCAAAAGTCACCTTAGCTACTGGCATCTTTCAGCAAGTTTTTTCCTGGATTCCATGGATGTGCCAACAGGTATGCTGAATTCTGGAAAGATTTTATGATTTATTATTTATTTGATGTAAAATATTACTGCTCACTGAATCTGATTAATTAATCGAAGATGATTTGTTACAGGAAAAGGCTACAGGAGCACTTTCATTTGGATTGTCCATTTATTTGGTAGCAATTCACAACATATTACTTCTGCAAGGTAAGGAATCTCCCAACTTTATTAAGCCTTACAGCTATAGAACCTTGAATCAACGGGAAAGCTATTTAACATTTAAATTTGTGGAACATTTGAGGTGCAAACTTGCTACGAGCTGTGCCTGTTTTGCTCATAGGTTTCACATGCAATGTGAAGCAACCGCTACTCTCCTATATTTAGTAGATTTTTTGCTAAATAACAGTAAATATGCACATGCATGAAGTACTGTGTTTGAAGCATATGTTATATGTTCTTTTAAATGTGTAAATTCAAACTTTATATTCATTTTGTTTTGTAATTATTAAATGCATAGAAGCTCAACAATCTGTCCTTTTTTTTAACATTACATTAATTTATCACCTATGAAAAATATCTTTCAACGTGAAATTACATAGACGTATTATTAATGATTTTATGCTTCTAAAGAGTACATTAAGTAAATGTCAAATGAGCAGTAATGAAGTCTTATAAAGTTTTTTTAATAGCATCTTCTAGATTTGCTTTTCAATTTTATATTCATTTTTTTATATTTATTGTTGAATTCATATTAGTTTTTATATTTTTTATTTTTTTCTATTGCATATTTAAATTTATTACTTACGAAAAAAATATTTTAGCACTACTAATTGAAGAGATTATACTTGCCCAAAGGCATATAATGTTCCCGTTACCTATTTCAAGCACCCCAAGCACGGTCTTGACATCAAGGATAATGATCCCATTTTGAGGATGATAAATTTTGATCTCTCTTGTGGTACCATGAAGTCTCTTAACCCAGATTTTTGCATTTTTTTCGTTGGCTCAAATATGTTGAGTAGTCTTTTGTTATCTATTTCAAAGCCTTGCCCAAATCAATCCAATGCTTATGAGAGTTTAGCAAATCATTATTGGACTAAATTCTTTTGCCCAAGCCTTAGACTAGTTGGAAAAAAATAGTACTTGATAGGATTACTAGGACCCAAGTTGATGCTTCCCTTGATGAACTATTTTTTACCCTTGCCTAGCTTTTATAAGTCGCGTCTTTTGAATGCTTGGCTCTTGGCGATTTCTCTAGAGGAGTTAAATCTTATTCAACCATTTTCGGTTGGCGTTGGTTGACATTGTCTTGTATGTCTCGGCCAGCTTTTTAGTAAGTCTCTTTTTGTTTGTAACTTGTCTCGAGAACTTATCTCTTCTTAGTGAACTTTCTCACAAGTTCAAGTATGGCCATATTTGTTAGGTCAGATTTTGCCTTGATTGAACTTGGTTGACTCTTTTTCCTCATTAGGAAGTTTTCTTATGGCAATGACTTATCCCAAGCACTTCTTTGTTCGTCATGAGTTCTCCTGAGAGCTTTGCTCTTGGAGAGCCCCTTATGGAGGTTAACATTTATTCCGACTAGCTTTGAATAACTCTTTTTCTTTCCAATGATTTTGCCCTTTTTTTGTTGACTTACCCAAAAACTTGCCCCTTTCATAAAATTCTCCCGAGAGATTGGTTCTTAAACTCCTCCTTAGTAATGCCAACTTTTGTAGTTTCAATCGGACTTAACCTACATTCGTCCTTTCTCAGGTATTCCTTGTGCTAGTAACTAACCATGAGAATATTTGTGATGAGTTTCTCCTCGGAGCTCATTTCAAGAAGTTTCATTGGGAGGTTGATTTTTTTTTTTTTTATTCTAATTGGCCTTGATCAGAGGTCTCCACCTTGTGACTCTCCCCGAGAATTCACTCTTTCTTGGCGAGTTCTCCTAAGTGCTCAACTATTAGTGACATCCTTAGGAACTTTAGCTTTATCATTTAGGTAGACTTTGGTCGACAACCTTTTTTCCTTAGCTGTCTGAAGTCAGAGCTAGTATATTCAATTGTTTGCATTATCCTTTAGGTTATTCAAGAACAAACATGTTTTTCGAAGTACATAAATTCTTGACAAATCATGTTGATTGACAATATTCCTTCTTTTTGGGGTAATATTTTGTGTGGCACATTGCTCAAGAAATCTTATCATACAGGCTCCTGCTTACTGCCAACTGACTCTAGCTTTTTCCACTAAAGCCTTGAGGTAAGGCTGTGAATTCCTGTCCTCTGCTCCTATTAAGAGATTAGCACATCAATGAGTTAGAAAGTTGATTATCACTAAAAGGTTGGCAGCCCCTCCTCTAGCTTATCTTAAGATGTTAGAAGATCACCGACCTTAAGATTAATGCACTTTAGGATGTAAGGATAGTTGTAACTTGGGCTCCCTTAGTGTTTAGCATATAATCCTCCTGTAGAGATCCGCCTTTGAAAAAAGCTTGAGATGTTAGAAACTCGAGATATTTTAGGCCTCCATTTTGATTCCTTCTTACTTAAGTGTAAGGAGTCATTGGTTTTTTTCTCTTTGGTGTTGAATTTCATATATGTTCCATAAGTTAAGTTGATTGAATGTGATTAAAACGAGAAACAATGAGTGCAACATTAAGCAAATTGAGGCCAAAAATGCCTCAATCATGCCCAAAGCCTCCTGGAAGATCACTTGTTTGCATAACATAATTTATTGGCGCATACAGAGCATAAAAAATGTTTAGGAAGAGCCATTTGATGAAGGAAACAATCAACAGATGGGGTGATGCACAAATCAAGTACCAGTTTCTTTGATCTTCATCAAAACTACCCAAAATGATGCTTGTTCGCAAAATAGACCACTTGAGCTCATCTGGAACATCAAAATTACTTACGAATGGGTCTTCTATAATCAATTCAACCAAACATAATGAAGACAATAGTCTGTCGGCACTACATCAATTTGGACCCTATTTGTCACAATCGCCATCAAAATCACTCAAATGCTCTCCATTCATAAAACAGACCACACACACGGATCCAAAACATCAAAATTGCCTAGAAATAACATATATATTCCAGTCCTTACTCACGAGCTGTCAACATGAGATTCGAGGCAAGACATGATTTTGAAATATACGAGGAATATGTAAATGTGCAAGAAGAAATTAATGTTATTTGTATTATGGTAGTCTGTCTCTTACATGCACATGCATATATACTAATAACTAGAGCACATGTGCACTTCTTTGTTGTACCTTCTTTATATGTTTACTTCAAGATATTATTTATACTTGACGTACTATTGTCCTAGAAATTATTTTGAAAGCACTATAATGAACATTATATTAATGGCTCAATGAAGCGAATCATGTTATAGTGTGATTGTTCTTTGTGATGTACTCTATAATAGGTTGTGATTTGCTATGTGGAGTGTTTAGTTAGGAGCCTGAGCAAGTGAGGATTCTATAATGTTTCCTATTTTCCTCCTTCCACCCCAGGGCTTGCTTTCATTTTATTGCCTTTTAGAAATATTTAGTTCTCCATGTTTTATTGCTTTTATATAGTATTGGTTTTTAATTTTAGATGTTTTTTAATGGCCATGAATATTTTTATATTGTTAATTTTCTACTTTAAGCAAGCAGAATTGCATGATTACTTTCTTAGTCAAAATTTTAAAATTAAATAAACCTGTCTCATTTAATTCTAAACAGAGCATCTTGAGGTTGTTGAAAGCCATTGACCAGATGTCGTGATTAAACATTTTACTTTTTATCTTGGACATTGATGTGCTGTCTATCAGTGTAAACCTTTCTTTAAACTTTTCCCTGATCTTCTTGGACATGAATGGGTTAAAGTATGACTAACGTTGAGCAATGATTGGATGTTTAAACCAAAGTGTTAATTGAGGTATTTTGAAATGTTAAGCAGCGGGATTTGTATAATTTTTGCTGATTGCACACTGCTTTTCATGAGGATTTCAGATTCCAGGGATGGACTAATATTATTCTATCTTCGCTCTTTAGTCTGCTTTGAGTTTATGTTCTGTAAACTTACTTGTGTTGAACATGGTCATAATGTTATATTGTATGCATGGTTCAGGCTCAGTTCACAAACAGATGGTTTTCTTCAAGGTTGACAGTTCCTTTGATGGTGGAAGTGGGCTGAGTCTCTTCACTCCAAGATATGATGATTTGATTTATTTGCTAAAATTGGCATGGACGAATGAGCCTGGTATTGGTCTTTTTGATCCTGTCTGGAAGATTAAATGCCTTTCGATCCAGGTTCTCTCCAAACTTGGTCCCTCGAGTGTGGAATGCAAGCTTGAGGTGCTGGATATGGCTATAAATGATGAAACTGAACAAGTGCGAGTTGAAGCTGCTATTTCTTTGCCTGTGATTATCCTGTGTTCTGGTCACCATATACTGGAAAGTATTTTTCAAAGATTGGAGTATGTATATTTGCTTCTCTACTGCTTCTGGGCTATTAAATTTTTTTTTCCTAATTTTTTAGTTAATTTTCTCAACTTAAGTGCACTGTATACTATTAGAATTGCAGGGTCTTCTTTTCTTTTTTGAAGCTATGGAAAAATTAAAGAATAAATATATCTTATTTTTTTCTTTCCATCTGCAAGAAACATACAAGGAATACACAACGTTCCTCTAAACAGAAATCCTGGAAAAGCGAAAGCCCTGAAGCTGTTAGGAACTAAACAGCCAAAAGATGAAAGAACATAAACGATATATTATTCAGCTAAAGCCCCAAGGAGCTTGTCAAAAACTCCGTTCATTTGCTGTCGTTCTCATGTCCCTTCTAAATCAACCATAATTTTTCCCAGCATTTCCACAAAAGTTTAGGCTTGTTTCATTAAAATGCTATCAAACCATCGTTCTCTTTTCACTAAATATTATATCTAAAACTGCCCAATGCTTATTATGGTAACTGATATATGGGCTGTGTTAATATTTTTAAATGCACATTTTGCTTTGAAAGTTGAATAAAATTAGTTCATTTGCATGAGATTGTTGATTTTTCTCCAGAACCAACTAAAGTAATTAGCATTAAAGTCAAATTTTCCTATAAACATCTGGAGGCTGAATCCAAATTTTTTGCCTCTTTATGCAAACTAAAGCTCTATCGAAATTATTGTGGCATGCCTTCTATATAATTACATTTATTTTCTTTTGAAAATCATGAGTTTTAAAAAATCGTGGCTTTGAGAGCAAATTTATCTAATATTTTATAATTTCACATATGATGTATACCTCCTCTAAATTGTTTACTTGTTGGTTGTCATATTTTCTCAGGTCAATTTGTTCAGGCAAAAGTGAAATAGTTGGTCGATCAATCCTCTATTCATTAGGCTATTTGTCATGCTTATATAACTCATGTGCTTATTCTGATCATCCAGATGGAAATTCTTGCCATTTATTTATAACTAATAACTATGACAGACATGTTCAGACAATAGATCTTCTCTCTACTGGTTTTTGGTGTTCCAAATGTGACAAAGGAGTGCAACACAGTGGATCTTTCTGGTCCATGCCTAAACTGCAAAATTCAAAGCTTGATATAAACTTTGATCGCGTTAATTTACCTTCCATTTTTCTGCAACTTCTTTATAAGGAATCATCAGAAGCCTTTCTGGTTGCTTATGTTACCGTCCTTCCCCGAATTCTAAAGCATGCAGATCAGAGTACTCTGCTTACTACGAAATATAAATGGATAGAGTGTATTGATTATTTTCTTCTCCACAAAATGAGAGCAGTCAGGGAAGCATTTAGTACTGGAATAATTTGCTTCGTTGATAAACACATTTTAGAGGCCTTGTTTATGGATGGAGAGACCAGCAACAAGACCAAAGAGCAGAAGTTCCTGGACAGAATGAAACATGCACTAGCCGTTACTCAGGATCCATTGATTTTGATGACTGTTTTGGAAACAATAGCTGAGATAATGAATTTTTCTGATTGCCATGAAAAACTTTTCTTGTACTCCCTTGTTTTGTTTGTTGATCAGCTTGATAATGAAAATGACATGGTGAGGCTAACTGCATCGCGACTAATACACAGGTCGCCCCGTTTCAATCCCAAAGGAGGATTCGAAGCAATCCTTTCGAAATTCTTTCACATTAGAGATGGATTGTTTGAGTATCTCTCTGCGAGGCTTGTGAGTCGCCCCACTCTGATCCATAAATTTGCTGAAACTGTTTTTGGGATTAAAGCTGGAGAACTTGTCGGAAGAATGGTTCCTTTTGTTATACCTCAGCTGATTGCTTCACACAAAGTTGATGATCATGCAATGATTATATTGCATGAGTTAGCAAGCCATTTGGATACTGATGTAGTACCCCTAATTGTGAATTGGCTGCCAAAGGTGCTGGCATTCGCTCTTCTTCATGAAGATGGAGAGCAACTAACTTCTGTTTTAGAATTCTATCATTTCCAAACAGGATCTGACAAGAAGGAAATTTTCTCTGCTGCTTTGCCCGCGCTTATAGATGAACTTTTATGCTTTCCTGTGGAGGAGGACATGAATGAAACTGAAAGAAGGTGAACCATAACATTTTAGCTTTCATTTGTCTATAGTGATCTGCTCTTAATGCTATCGATAATACTCTTTAAAGTTGTGATTTCTTCTAATGATGTTTTCAGGACAACAAGAATTTCAGCAATGATCCAGGAGGTTTCTGTAATCCTGACTGGATCTGTTGATCTTCCAGCATTTTTAAAGAATCACTTTGTTCGACTTCTTAACAGCATTGATAGGAAAATGCTGCGTGTTGATGATCTTCAGCTACAGAAACAAGCCCTTAGACGTATAGAGAAGTTGATAGAGATGATGGGATCTTTCCTTAGTGCTCATGTTCCCAAAATTATGGTTCTTCTCTTGTATGCTATTGACAAGGAAGATCTTCAATATGATAGTCTAAGTGTACTGCAAGTATTTATCAACAAACTGGCTGAACTCTCCCCTTCCACCATTAAGCATGTTATTTCACAAATTGTAGCTGCATTCATTCCATGCTTGGAACGCCACGGTGAAGTCCCTTCCTCTCATTTGGGAAAAATTGTGGCGATTTTGGAAGACCTTGTGGTGAAGAACGGGTTGACGCTGCGGCAACAAATTCGGGAACTCCCACTTTTACCTACTGTTCCGGCTTTGTCTAAGGTTAACATGGTTATTCAGGGGGCAAGGGGTTCAATGACTTTGAGGGAGAACTTACAAGATGTCATAGATGGTCTCAACCATGAGAGCTTAAATGTAAGATATATGGTGGCATGTGAGTTGAGCAAGCTGTTGAACACAAGAAGAGAAGATGTTACTGTCCTTGTAGCTGGTGAAGCCACACCAGATTTGGATCTCATTAGCTCTCTAATCACATCTTTGTTTAGAGGCTGTGCAGAGCAGTCCAGAACTACTGTTGGGCAAAGGTTGAAATTAGTCTGTGCGGATTGCTTAGGAGCTGTTGGGGCAGTTGACCCTGCAAAATTTAAGGGAGTCGCTTCTCAACGTTTCAAAATTGAATGTTCAGATGATGATCTTATTTTTGAGCTTATAAACAAGCATCTTGCAAGGGCATTTCGGGCTGCATCAGACACCATTGTTCAGGACTCAGCTGCTTTGGCCATACAAGAGCTTCTGAAACTAGCTGGTTGCCAAGCTTCTCTGAATGAGACTACAGGTACAGATTCTACTGAGATAATTGATGTAGAAAGTAGCAAAGCATACAAGGAGATGAATAAGAGGGGACAGATATTTTGGGATCGTTTTTCTAATTATATTAAAGAAATTATTGCGCCATGCTTGACCTCAAGATTTCAACTACCGAACATAACTGATTCTGCATCTTTGGGTCCAATTTATCATCCTTCCATGTCATTTCGACGGTGGATTTTCTGCTGGATCAGGAAGCTTACTGCTCATGCAACAGGGTCTCGTTTCAGTATCTTCAGCTCATGCCGTGGTATAGTACGCCATGACATGCAAACAGCCACTTATTTGCTTCCATATTTAGTCCTTAATGCTGTCTGCCACAGCTCTGTTGAGGTACGTTGCAGCATAACTGAGGAAATCCTCTCTGTTCTTAATGCTGCGGCTTCAGGAAACAGTGGTGGTGGTGCTACATTTCATGGAGTATTTGGGGGACAGAATGAAGTCTGTATTCAGGCTGTTTTCACTCTGATTGATAATCTGGGGCAGTGGGTGGATGACCTGAAACAAGAAATTGCTCTCTCCCAATCTCTTGGAGTTTCAACCTCTAAACAAACACCTAAAGGTGAAGACACAAATGGGCTTGTTTCTGATGCAGATAAGCTCCTTGTGCAATGCAGTAATGTTTATGAGCTTTTATCTGCCATTCCTAAGGTTACTCTTGCAAAAGCTTCCTTCAGATGTCATGCACATGCTCGTGCACTGATGTACTTCGAATCGCACGTGCGGGAGAATTCTGGGTCCTTCAATCCAGCTGCTGAGAGCAGTGGTTTCTTTTCTGATGAAGACATCTCATTTCTTATGGAGATATATAGTGTTCTCGATGAGCCTGATGGCCTTTCTGGCTTAGCAAATCTGCGAAAATCTTCTACGCTCCAAGACCAGCTTCTTATAAATGAGAAGGCAGGAAACTGGGCAGAAGTTCTAACCTTTTGTGAGCAAGCTCTGCGGCTGGAACCTGATTCAATTCAAAGACATTCTGGTGTTCTTAACTGTTTGCTAAATATGTGTCATCTTCAGGCCATGGTAACTCATGTTGATGGTTTGATATTTAGAATACCTGATTATAAGAAGAGTTGGTGCATGCAGGGTGTGCAGGCTGCTTGGAGGTTAGGCAGATGGGATCTAATGGAGGAGTACCTTTCTGGTGCAGAAACAAATGGTCTCATCTGCGGAAATTTTGAGAATAACGCTTCTTTTGACATTGGCCTTGCTAAGATTTTTCAGGCAATGATGAAAAAAGATCAATTTTTAGTTGCGGAGCGAATCGCACAGTCTAAACATACTTTACTTGTCCCTTTAGCTGCCGCTGGCATGGATTCCTATATGCGGGCATATCCATATGTGGTGAAACTTCATCTCCTCTGTGAGTTGGAAGATTACCATACTTTCTTAGGAGAGGAGTCATTTCTGGAAAAATCATTCAGTCCTGAAGATCCAAAGTTTGCTAAAATTATCACTGACTGGGAACATAGATTGAAATTAACACAACCATCTCTCTGGGCAAGGGAACCACTCCTAGCTCTACGCAGACTAGTCTTTGGTGCCAGTGGCCTTGATGCACAAGTAGGTAACTGTTGGCTTCAATATGCAAAGCTTTGTCGCTCCTCTGGCCACTATGAAACAGCTCATAGAGCCATATTGGAAGCTCATGCTTCAGGTGCTCCTAATGTCAACGTGGAGAAGGCGAAGCTTCTATGGAGCACAAAGAAATCTGATTCTGCTATAGCCGAATTGGAGCAATGTCTTCTGAATATGCATGCGGAAGTTCTGGGCAATGCTGCAGTCTCATCACTCACTAGTCTTTCGCTTGGATTGCCAAATCCACCATTGCTTTGTTCCACACAAGCATCAAAAGAGAATCAGGAAGTGGCTAAAATCATTCTTCTCTACACAAGATGGATCCATCACACAGGCCAGAAACAGAAGGAAGATATTATAAATCTTTATTCAAGAGTTAGAGAGCTGCAACCAAAATGGGAGAATGCATACTTTTTCATGGCGAAGTATTTGGATGATCTTCATGTTGATGCCAGAAAGCGGCAAGAGGATAATTTGCTGGTTGGTGCTGGTGGTTCATTAAATCCTGTAGCTGATGAGAAGCCATGGTGGTCTCACCTTCCTGACGTGTTACTGTTTTATGCTAAAGGCCTTCACAGAGGACATAAGAATTTATTCCAAGCTCTGCCAAGATTGCTAACGCTCTGGTTCGAGTTCGGAAGTATGTACCACAACCACAGAGATGGAGCGTCAACAAATAAATCTATGAAAGCTGTTAATTCGAGGGTATCTTCTCTTTTTCATCCCATGCATTTTTTTATGGAAGATTTACATGTCTAGCACTCAATTTCTGAATATTTACATATCAAATACCTAAACCTTAATTTTTACATAAATACCATTTATAGATATGCATAAAAATGTGTTTTTTACCTTTCAATGTTAAAATGGTCGTATTTTTGATGTGATATGGAATATTTGGGTCTTATAAATGCAGAAGGTAAAGTTTAGGTTTTAGATATGTAAATATATGGGAATTGTGTGGCATCTATTTTGAATAATCCTTTTTTTTTATTAGGACCATTCACATACATAGGACTAATTCTTATGTATTTACATATCTAACACCTAAACTTCAATTTTTACATACATGTCACCTTCCCTATATATGAAAATGTACATTTCAATTTTTAAAATTTAAAATGGCAGTCTTTTAACGTGATATGGAAGATTTGCGTGTTATAAATATAAAAAGTAAAGTTTTGGTGTTAGATATGTAAATACATAGGAATTGGGTGGCATCTACAAAAATGCACTTTATTTTAATTTTTTTGTGGTTATAAATATTCAAACCCAATGTTTCAGGTTCTAAGTATCATGCGTGGTTGTCTGAAAGATCTGCCAACTTATCACTGGCTTACCGTGCTGTCTCAGCTAGTCTCACGGATCTGTCATCAGAACGAAGAAACTGTTAAAATTGTAAAGCATATAATTACATCTGTTCTGCAGGAATATCCACAGCAAGCTCTTTGGATGATGGCTGCTGTTTCTAAGTCAACAGTAGCGGCAAGGCGCGATGCTGCTTCTGAGATAATTCAAGCGGCACGAAAAGGGTTCCGCCATGGAAACGATAATAGCAATCTGTTTGTTCAGTTTGCTGGTTTGATAGATCACTTAATTAAGCTGTGCTTCCACCCAGGACAGCCTAAGGCAAGGAAAATCAATATATCTACTGAATTCAGTGCTTTAAAGAGAATGATGCCACTGGGGATTATATTACCCATTCAACAGGCTCTTACTGTCACACTTCCTTCATATGATTCTCCTGGTTTCATGTTCTCAGCCGCGGATCATCCCACAATTTCTGGAATTGCAGATGAGGCTGAAATTCTTTCATCGCTTCAGAGGCCAAAGAAGGTAAGGATAATAAGTGTTAAGCGTGCAAATTAGATTAGAAATGTAAATTTGGCTTCACAAACAAAGACTTAGAGACCCTGTTGGATTAGTGAGTCATACAACTAGTGCTTGTCTATAAAAAGAGTAAAGTGCCAGAATAGTCCTGTGATTATTTAATGTGGTCATTTTAATCTCAGAGTCTATAAAAATATCAAATTAGTCCCCATATTTTTTAAATTGGTGCTGAAATAATTCTATATGTGGACAATTTAAGCTGATATTAAACTGAGTCTGAGAATTAAATTGGCACTATTATATTTTGGGACTAAAATGACCCCCCTGCAAAACCTCAAAAAGGATTGATTAGTTCATTTGGTGTAAAAATTTAGAATACTAAATATATACAGATAAGATGGTAGGATTTGTTTTGTTTGAAGGTTTTAAAGAACTTATCCTGGCATGGTTAATGAAATAGTGATGATATAGACGATGTGTGGCCATTCAAAGGATTGCTTAGTTATAACAAATTAATGCAAATTCTTGGTGGCTTGAGAATTAATATACTAGAATTCTATCTTGTATTGAAGCCTGTTATCTTCCTCTATTTGTTTAACTGTGTCTAAATCTCAAATGTACAAGGTACAGTGTCAATAACTGAATTTTATTATTTGGTGCAATTCCTAATAGGACATATATTCTCTAGCAATTCATATTTTCATAAATAGCACACAATTCTTATGCATTTACATGTCCCACACCTAAACTTTCATATTTACACACATAGCACTAAATCTTTCATATCATATAACAAAAAAACACTTTTAAAAGTGTATTTAACCATTCCATGCATAAGATTTAAAGCACCAGAGTTCTATGTATATGAATAAGAAATTTTAGGAGTGAGATATGTAAATACATAAGAATTGTGTGCTATTTATGTATATTTCCCCTTCAAATTAGATTTTCAACCGAGTTGAATCACGCCACTAGATGAATAATGCTAAAATCTATAACATAACCACTTATCCACCACTCAAGCATTCACCGAGCATATCATCAAATTCAGATTTACAAACATTCTGCAAAATCAATCTTTCTCCTTCCATTTTTCCAAATCCAGGTCATCTTTCTCGGCAGCGATGGTGTTCACCGCGCCTTCCTTTGCAAACCTAAAGACGATCTTCGAAAAGACGCTCGTATGATGGAGTTCACCGCCATGATAAACCGTCTCCTCTCCAAGTTCCCCGAGAGCCGAAGAAGAAAGCTTTACATTCGCACCTTCGCTGTAATCCCTTTTACAGAAGATTGCGGGATGGTGGAATGGGTTCCGCAGACTCGCGGCCTCCGCCATATTCTCCAAGATATCTACATAACACGCGGGAAATTCGATCGGCAGAGGACGAATCCTTTGATCAAGAAGATCTATGAGCAATGCCAGGGTAAGATGGCTGAGGAGGAGATGTTTAAGTCGAAAATTCTGCCGATGTTCCCTCCTATTTTTCATCAATGGTTTCTTACGACGTTTTCGGAGCCGGCGGCTTGGTTTCGAGCGAGGGTTGCTTATGCCCACACGACTGCTGTTTGGTCCATGGTGGGACATATTGTTGGGCTGGGGGACAGGCATGGAGAAAACATTCTGTTCGACTCGACGACGGGGGACTGTGTTCATGTTGATTTTAGTTGCCTTTTCGATAAAGGGTTGCAGTTAGAGAAGCCTGAACTTGTGCCTTTCAGGTTAACTCAGGTAAATGGGCCATGCAGCATAATTTACCGTAAATTAGTGAGTGTCAAGATAGAACAAATATTAAGTTTGGACTCCAGACGTAGAGGGACGCAGAGATACGAGGTTACAGCTAATAAAAAAAAATTGTTTTAGTATAGGTGAATATTCTCCTGTTGTTCCACTTTATTCAGATGTTATTGTGATGATATTAATGTATTATTGTGTTCTGAAAATTATTCTCGGTGTTATAATAACACAATAACACATCAATACCACTACAATAATACCTGAATAATGTGAAATAACACGAAAGGAATATTCCCTTGCATTACCGGGCCGAATCACAAGAAAATGAGTTTTGTGAAATAACACGAAAGGAATATTCCCTTGCATTATCGGGCCGAATCACAAGAAAATGAGTTTTTTTTTTTCTGACAGCTCCACGTGGATGTGATTCATTGGACTTCAAAGGTATCTCTTTGTCTGGAGTCCGAATATAATAATTTTTCGTCAAAATTGGGGGAAATATTTGTGTACGTAATACGTACACAGAGTTGCGTGCGTAATAACCCCGCAATAACCTATGCTTCGCAGTTATGAGAGGGTTATTGGAAGGTTATTGAGAAATTAATTACAATAACCTATAACCCTAATAACCTTTCCATAACCTTCGCGGGTTCTATTTCAATATTATTCATAGGTTATTACGAGGGTATTGCGGGGTTAATGGAGTACTCACGCAGAGTTGTGTGCGTATTACTTTCGCAAATATTTCTCCAAGATGGGCTCTTCATTCTTTACTCTTTACTTGGGGTCATTTTCGTCCCAACAGTCTAATCCGAGATTTTCTTTTTTTTTTCTGAAATTTACGAATGTAGCACGTAATTCTTATGCATTTACATATCTCACGCCAAAACTTATATTTTTACAAACCTAACTCCCCACATATGGATGAAAAGATGGATTTCACTGTTCTATACGGTTGATAAGGGTAAATTGGGTGTTGGATTTGTAAAAATGATAGTTTTGGTGTGAGATAGGTAAATGCATAAGAATTGGGTGTTGTGCATATAAATCCCCTTTTTTTGGGGGCTTTACATGCGTAATTCTTAGATATTTACATAAAAAACTTTAATTTTTACATTTTTCTAATATCTAACATCTAAACGTTAAATTTTATACCACCCAAATGTTTCATATTACATCAAGAATGCCATCATTTTAACTTTGAAAATGTGAAATACTCTTTTTCATGCATAAGTATGGTGATATGTAAAGATTAATAGTTTAGGTGTTAGATATGTAAATACATAAGAATTGAGTGGTATGTATGTAAATCTCCCCGACTATTTTCGCACTTTATTTGTAAATTATTTATGCTCGTAAAAGTTAGTTATACCATCTTTTGGGTTTCAGAACATGATAGATGGGCTCGGAATAACTGGATATGAAGGCGTATTTCTGAAAGTATGTGAGATAACTCTGTCGGTACTGAGAACACATAAGGAGACGCTCATGAGTGTTCTTGAGACCTTCATTCATGATCCCCTTGTTGAGTGGACCAAATCTCACAAATCCAGCGGTATAGAAGTTCAAAATCCTCACGCGCAGGTATGAACAAACAATCTTTATCGCCGTAAAATTCTGGTATAATTCTGTATTGTTAAATCAATTTTATTTGGTTAGAATTAATGGATTATCCACTTTCCTCCTAGGGATTCATGTTTCACAAGCTATTTGCATCCTATATATTAAAGGGTTTGTTTAGTTTGCCCAAAAATGAATGCAGAATAATGCAATGTACTATATTTAAAATGTTTTAAATTGTTGTGGCATTTAAATGCATGCCACCCAATTTCTATATATTTACATATCTAAACATTTATACTTTACTTTTTTCCATTTACACCACCCACTTCTTTCATATCACATAAAAAATACCACCATTTAGCTTTTTAAAAAGAGATTTTTTTTCATGCGTGGGTGGGTAAGATAGCATGTATGTAAAAATTAAAGTTTAGGCGCGAGATATGCAGATACATAGTTATTGAGTGGTATGGATGTAAATCTTCCTAAATTGTCTAGATAGGCTTAAAACCAATGCATGATATTATTGTTTTGTATTTAGTTTTAAGTAGAATGAAATCAATGTAAAAGCCTAACTGTAGGAGATGGTCCACGTAAGATGCCCGCAGCTGCAATGGCGAGCAATGGTTGGCCGGCGGAGTGCATCAAAATTGAACTAAATGCCTATACTTGAATACACCAAAAAATTACACTTTATTTGGTTTTCATCAACTAAATACCAAAATTTTGATGTGGCCAATTAAGGGGCCCCTATTTTGCAATGATTTTTTCCCTCAACCAACAAATATAAGAAATGCTCTATTTTTTTTTTTATTGTGGTTTCAGAGGGCTATCAGTAACATCAAAGCAAGGCTTGAAGGTGTTGTGGTCGGTGTTGGTGCAGCGCCATCTCTTCCTTTGGCCGTGGAAGGACAAGCAAGACGGCTAATTGCTGAGGCCGTGTCGCACAAGAACTTGGGTAAGATGTACATCTGGTGGATGCCCTGGTTTTAATGGTATGTACAATAGTTTTTATATGGTTGATGCTCTTATTTTTATTTCAAAAATAACCCTAAGTTTTTGCATGATGCTCTCTTCAAAGAAATGTCCCAAAGCTGTAAATCCTGAAGCTTGATGTTCTTTCAGTCTTTGGATGCGTGCTGGAAGTGCCCTTGTGGGGACATGAGGTAACCAATTAATTTTAAAAAGATTTATATACGCACCGCTCAATTCTTAAAACTCATTTTTCAGATATATGGCCCTTATCTATACATGAAAATATTTATATTTTAGTCTATGGTACATCTCATAATTTTTTGATCTATATAGGTTTTTGGATCATTGGCATCTAGAAGGTCCCCACCTTCCCCAGAATCATACCTCTCCTGTTGAAATTTTGAAGCACAAAAGGTTATGACGTCACTTGAAATAAAAGCTAGTAACAGTGATTTTTTTAAAAAAAATGTAATATTAAAGATTTGAGTGTTAGGTATGCAAAAATGAAAGTTTAGATGTTAGATATGTAAATACATAAGAATTGCGTGTTATGTATGTAAAGGTCCCTTAAATTTGTGATGCTTATAATATTAATTTTTCTTGTCCCATCTCAGGCTTATGGCTGAGTGAGCCAAAATACTACACTACCTGGAATTATACCATCCGAGTATATATTACTGCTTTGTTTCGTAGCCCTGAGAAAAGCAGATCTTAGATCAATAAGGTTGCATCATACAGAAGAGATCAGGTAAATTCCCATAGCTACATGAACTATTTCCATATTTGCATTATGTAAATAAAATCTTCGTTAAACTCCAGCTTCAGTTTCTATTAGGTTTTTAGGTTAAATGTTCTTTTTGTTTGGCTTTGAAACCATTAAGGTAAATATATCATTTTTTTTTTCTACTTTATTTAGTATTGGAGTGTGTAAAATCACTTTAATTAGAAAGTAGGTTATAATGAGCGAAAATTATTACGTGTGGCTGACCGCATTGTCATCCGGACATGCAATCGCTGTATGTAATAATTTCATTATCTCATTTAATTTATAATTAGATTAGAGGTGTAACGAAGTCTTAACCAAGCATCGATTAATCTTGAGTTTCAGCTTGGATTTCGGTTTGATTTAATGAGTTTTGAGTTTAGTTCCTTGGTTGGCTCATTTGTTAAAATTGTATCATAATTAATGGGGATTTACATACATACCTACACAATGCTATATATTTACACAAATAACATCAAAGTTTTTATATTTATTTATATTAACATTTTTAAGTGCCATAATCATACGAAAATATTAAATTAAAAGTCTATATTTAATGTTAGAAAAGCTAATCTTAGTGTTATTTTTAATGTTATATGAAACATTTTGGTATTATTTAAGTATATATAGAAGGTTTGGGTTTGTTGGCCTGTCTTAAAATGTAAGATATCTATTCAACAAAGCCTTCTGGCATTTGATAAACCGCACATAAAATTTTTGGCTGCTTCTAAATTCTCCTATTTTGTAAAAAATTAGAAGGGGAAAGATCGTAAGCTCTGAAATTAGAAGACCATGCCATTTTTGCAATTCTTTAGCTTTTAAAGCGTGTTGTATTGTTATTGCCATTCTATTATTAAAAAGGGCAAAAATGTTAATTATTTAAAAAATTAAATTAATATTACTTTCATTAAATATGTGCGAAATTAATAGCAGAACTCATTTATCATCCTCATCAAACTACAATAATTCTGACCAAAACTATAAAACCATTGTGTGAATAATTCTATTTTAATCTGTGTGGACAAATAAATCTGCAAAAAAAATTCTAAAACCATTGTAAGAAAATTTCCTAAAAATTAAGTTACGATACATCGCAAAAATTATAGGGTCATAATGATTTGCAAAATTTACCCATTTACATAGATAAACCTTATGAGTTAGATATGTAAATACAGAAAAAATATTATCTCAGGAGTACTGATGCATCAATACTCCAATGGAGAGGGGACACGTATGCAATGATCCTATTATAATGCCATATGTCACCTCTCCATTAGAGTATTGATGCATCAGTACTCCTGAGGTAATATTTTTTCTGTATTTACATATCTAACTCGTAAGATTTACTTCTTACATTTATAGTGCGTAAACATCTCATAAGAAATCAAAAATCCCTATTGGCTTTAAAAAAATAACATACCTTCAAACGCAACGCACCATCGAGGAGCTCTTATTCTGTGCAGACAGCGCACGCAAGATGCGTCACTCCCCAAATCAGAAGGTTTTTTTTTTTTTTTTTTTTGAAAAAAAAAAAAAATTTGAGCCCACTGTCATAATCTTTTGATAAAGAGTGTTTTTATTGGTACACAATAATTTTTCACCATTGAGTGGGCATATATGGAAAAAATTGAAGTTTAGATTGATAATTACATAGAAATTGAGTGGCATCTATGTAAATCTTCCTCTATAAAAGGATAATAATTGATACATGCACATTTTAGCTATAACTTGAAGAACCGAGTGAAATACAAAATTCAGTTAATTCATGCATTATGCTAATAATTTTATAAAAAAAAATTATTGAAGGAGAGCGTCTTTAAACTAAATGAGCACACACCTTCAGTTCTTGCAGAGAGATGCAATTAAAAACAAATATATTATTATGACTTTCGAATTTTTTCAAACCCAATAATTTACACCTTTGCCCAAAAAAAAGATAATTCTCGTGTATAAATTAATAATTTATTTACCTGATGCCTGATCCTCAAATATTGAAACCTGATTCAAGGTCAGAAACTTGTGAGATCATCAGTACTTTGCAAGCTTTAAATAAACATGTGCTTGGTAAAGCGATAAAGTGAAAAAATCCCAAAATCCAAATTTAATAGTTAATGCCTGACAAGTAACTGTCAATATTTACAAGCAAAACATGAAAAAGGTGTACGTGGTAAAATAAAATTTATGAGATGGACAATATATAGGAATTCTGTGTTATGTATGCACATGAGCCTTGAATTTATTTTAAATAGCTGCAATATAAACTATGATTTAAGTTTCTGCGCTGTAAAATAAGAAGTGGGTCAGCCAAGAACAAAGTTTTGTTGAAATTTATGGAAGAATCAAACTAAATTATAGGATTAAAAAAAATAATGATAAAATAATACAATGAACAAATGAAAAAAAAATAAATATTAAAAGAAAAACTAAATGATAGGAAAAAAAAATTAATAATAAAATAATAAATTTTAAAAATTTTAAAAAATTAAAGGAAACACTATATGATAGGCTGATGTTAACTAAAAATTAAAATGATGTCGATATTTATATAGCCTATATATATATATATATATATATATATATATAAGCTTGTTTAATATGAGACTGCGCAGAAGCTACTTCATTTTATATAAAAGGGTCTTACCAGTAATGAAAGTTAGCTTAATGATTGAAAACTTTTGTCTTTCAGCTAAGGGGGTACTAAAGGTTGAAATGAGCCAAACTCACTCATGAGCTGGCCGATAAAATATATAAGCTTGTTTAATATTAGACTGCGCAGAAGCTACTCCATTTTATATAAAAGGGTCTTACCAGAAAATGAAAGTTAGCTTAATGATCGAAAACTTTTGTCTTTCAGCTAAGGGGGTACTAAAGGTTGAAATGAGCCAAACTCACTCATGAGTTGGCCGATAAATAGCTATTAAACTGAGCTGGATGAGCTAACAAGCCAAGCTCAAGCTAGCATCGACTCGACTCGGAAGCTCGTGTACCGACCCTTTTAAAAAAAATTATAATAAAAAATATATTAAAATTCATGTTTTTTTTAAAATTATTAAATGTATTTTAAACAATAATATTTAATATTAGTGATTTCTTATTAACTATCTCCTGAATATTATTTATGACATTTCATTATAACACTAGAATAAATTAATATTTTCTTTCTTTCATACTAAACAAGTTGGCTCCAACTTGTTCTAGAAATAAGCTCGAGCTCGAGCTCAAGCTCGATAAATTAATCAAGCTAAAGCCTAAGCCAAGAGTGACTCGGGCTTGATTCTACTCGTTTCCACCCCTAAACTTTTAACCAAGGGATCTTGGGTTCAACCTTTTGCATATGTGGTGTGAATGTGTTTGAGTGTGTGCAGGGAAAAAAAATACATACAAAGCTAATTCCTATGTATTTACATATCCAACACTTAAATTTATAATACTATAATAAATGACTATCGTGCTTATTTTAGGCATTCAATTTTAAAGAAGTCAACGTCAAAATAAAATAATCGAGATCGATACGAGTAATAGTACTTTTAAACTATTGTAATAAATTGTTTATTCACAAATATGTTTGCAGTCTACGATATTTGTGTGTTTTATTCTGAATGAGACATTATTTTTTTATTAATCATATCGTTATGAATGTTGTAACTATTTACTCATGTTTTTTTTGTATGTTTTATAAAGTATGTTGAATTGAATGCTATGATTACATATGTTTATATTGCTTGTTTGTAAATTTATAACTGGCTATGATGAAGCACCCCTTGATGGTATTATTGGGGGTACAGTAATGTACCCATACAAGTAAATAGAACAGAATATTGATATTGAATTATTTTAAGTGATATAATTTTTAAATAATGCATCTGTGATTGTTGTATAGATATGATAATGATATACACCCCTTTTGAATAGCATGTGAAATGTTTATATTGATTTATAAAAAATTTTAACGGTCATGCATATTGTTCTTTATTTTCCTTATATTGATGTGGTTTAGAAACATGAGTATTCACTGACTCATTTAGCTTACAATTGTTGTAACTAACTTTTCATGTTTAATTAAATTATTAAAAGATGAGCGATAAACAATAAACCATCTATAGAAGACGCGGGCAACCATCAACAAGGAAATTTTAATTGTACCGCTTGAATCTAATTTGTAGTGGTTCTTTCATCTGTTAAATTGTAGATGAATACTAAAAATTAATTCACATCGTCCGACCTTTTGTATTCGCTTTGGTTAATTTCAAGCCTCAAGTCGGGTCGTGACAGACTTATCCAATAAAAATGAAAGAAAAAACATCTCATATAATATGGAACTCATTAAATCATATGATTCCTTATAATAAGAAAGTAACAAGTTAAAAGACTGTTACCTCAATTGCATAATATCTACAACTCACTCCTGTTTGGACATCCGTAACTTCGAGAGTTTGTCCCTCCACAAAACTATCAAAAATAAATAAATAAATAAATAAATAAAATAAAATAAAATTAGGTTGAATGCAATAACTATTTCATGCAGAATGAAAACTACTGTCACGTGCCTGCATCTTCAAATTTCTCCTCTAGTACTGCCTTATTCAGCTTTAGAACCAAATCAAGCTCCTCAATAAGCGGGTCTGGTTCTTCTGGCGCGCTGCAAAGGGAAGGGCAAGCTTAGATGCATTTAACCAATAATTCCATAAAATTCTATTTGGAAGATTTACAGGCATACCTCTCAATTGCTATGCATTTACATATCTAACACCCATACTTCAATTTTTACATACACATGCCACCTTATCTATGCATGAAAAGGGGTATTTCACTTTTTTTTAGTTAAAATGACAGTACTATTGAAGTGGAATGAAAGTTTGGGTGGTATATATGTAAAACATAAAATCTAGGTTTTAGATATGTAAATACATAAGAATTAGGTGGTATGTATGTAAATGCCCCTCTTTATTTCTTGGATAATCATAAGCTTAGAAATCACAATATATAGAAGCTAAAGGTGTTCACGAGTCGAGTTTGAGTTGAATTTTGGCTTAGACAAGCCAAGTTTGTTTAATAACTAGTAAGCTCAATCTCGAGCCCGGCTCAAATGAAAAAATTCAAGCTTGAGCTATACTCTTATACTTGGGCTTGATCAAAAAGCTCAGGCTTTGCTTGATGGTAGAAATGGAGATGCAATAGAGAGAGTGTAGGATTGCGGAGATGGGTTGAAAATGGAAGATTTTTGCGGGATGTCATATCTTAATTAAAGTTGATTAAGCTGACTCAAGAAGTTCTCAAGTTAAAACATTTCAAGCTCAAGCTTGTACAACATACGAGCTCAAATTTGAGTTTGAGTTTGAGCTCAAGCTCAAACTCATGAATAAACTCGACTCTGACAAGTGGAGTTCGAGCCGGCTTACCTGTGTGTGTGAAATTTTTGTAAGGAAAAATTGCCTCAAATTTCACATAATTTGACCATAACTCCATTAAGGGTAGTGCCATCAAATAATTAGTTTATCATTCAGCCAGTTACCATATAAATTATGACACAGTATAACAGCATATGAGCAGGAGAGGGCGAAAAATTGCATACACAGCACATAATTCTGATGTAGTTACGCATCCAACACCTATACTTTCATTTTTGCATTTATAAACTGAAATACGCATTGCATGCAAAGATAAAGTGCTAAAAAGTAAAAATCAAAGTTCGGTGTGTTGTAAAAAACGAGGGCAATAAAGAGAAAAATTGGAATGAGAAAAATTGCACACAGAAAAAAACACCAGAGCGACACACGGATTTACGTGGTTCAGCAAGTTTGCCTACGTCCACGAAGCTGTAGAGAATTTATTTCTTCGAGGAATTACATCGTCGAGCGCTTCGAAGTTTACAAAAAATCTCTATTTTCTTCTCTCCCTTCCTCTCTCTCTCTCTCTCTCTTCCTCTCTTTCTCTTAGCTCTCAAGATGGCTTGGTTTGATCTTGCTTGACTTTCATTTCCTTTAAACCAAAAGAGACTATTTATAGAAACCATGAGAGCGGTAGGTGGGAGGTAGGTGAGCGGTAGGTGGGAGGAGGTAGGTGAACGACAGGTGAGTGTAGTAGGTAAGCGGTGGGTGTGATACTTAATTAAGAAGCTAATTAAATTCAGTGGACCGGGTAGTGTAGTAGGTAAGCGGGGGGTGTGATACTTAATTAAGAAGCTAATTAAATTCAGTGGACCGGGTCTCCACATTACCCAACAATTCTCTCACTTGGAGACTGGGACACTGAATGCATCACCTACTATCTGCATCATCTACTAGCTGTACCAACCTTTTCCTCAAACATGATATTCTCCACCTCTGCAACTCGAAAAGTCTGTCTGCATGTCAGAAGACCAATTGAAGTTGAGCACAACTTCAGCTTTTCACGAGTAACACCCTCAATTGACATATCACCGATACCACTAAGCTCTTTTCTGGGTTACTCTTGTATCTGCTTACAACTCTCACTGCATGAGCAATATCCTGCCCCTGCTGAAAGCCGTTTTCAACAAGTCCAGCTTTGTACCTCTTACTGCCACCAAGCGCAGTTTTCATCCGGTACATCCACATCCGGTACATCCACTTGTTGTGCAATATTTTCTTCCTTGGTAGAAGTTCTGTCAGCTCCCAAGTCAAATTCCCTGATATAAAATTTGTCTTCTCCTTCTTGGTCAGCTCCCACTTGCTTGAATTCTCATCTTGCAAGATTTTTTCATAACTCTGTGGTTCTCCACCATTTGTCTGTACAAGGTTCGGTTTTTCTGCCTGTGACACTACCACTTTTCAGAAAATTAACCTTCTTCTGCTCCCCCATAATGCACATCTGATTCATATGTCCTCGCCTGAGTAAACTTGTAGTCATATATAGTGTGTCAGTTTTCTTACCCCGAGCACGTACTAATGCTCATTTGGTAACCTTCCAGGTGTTATCTGAGAACACTACCGAATGACCACCCTCATTGAGTTGCCCAACAGAGATGAGGTTTTTCTTCAACTCAGGAACGTGTCTGACTTTTTGCAAAGTCCATTTGTTTTTATTAAGGAGTGTAATATCAACATCTCTCATCCCCACCACGTCTAGAGCATTTCCATCAGTCAAATATATCTTCCCAAAGTTATCTGCAACATAATTTTGCATTAACTCTCGACGGAAAGATGTATAGAAGGAAGCCCCTGAATCCAGTATTCAATCATCAACAGAACTGTAAACTGTCAGAAATAGTGCATCATGTATTTCTTCAGTTACAATATTAGCGTCATCATTCTCCTTCTTCTTAAGATTTCTGCAGTTCTTTTTTATGCGGTCAGTCTTGCCACAATTTCAGCAGGTTGTCTGCTGACCTGACTTTGATTTTGATCTTCCACGGTTTGAGTTTCTGTCTAGTGATCTCCCTCTGGAATCAACAATCACTGCCGAACTCGAACTCGAGGTCTCACCAGAATCTTTCTTGCGCATCTCCTCATCCAAAATCAAATCACGAATATCATCATATTTCAGTTTAGATTTACCTGCAGAACTGCTAACTGTCATCCTCATGATTTCCCAGCTATTTGACAATGATGCCAACAATATCAACGCACATATCTCATCATCAAAATCAATTTCAACAGACGACAATTGATTTGTGATAGTATTGAAATCATTCAGGTGTTGAGCAGCAGAGATACATTCCACCATCTTCAAGTTGAATAACTTTTTCATCAAATGCACCTTGTTATTCGCCGATAGCTTTTCATACATACCTGATAAAGCCGTCATGAGATCTGCAACCGATCTCGACAGGGTTAATCGTATAACCCCTAGAACCTGTCGATCTAACAGATTCCATTCCGCCTTGTCCACTTTTTCTAGTTGCTTTCCCAGTAACGTAAGATGAAGTTTCTTCCCATAGAGATAGTCCTCTATCTGCATCCTCCAGTAAGCAAAATCTGTGTCATTAAACTTCTAGATCCTCGATGTCATCACTTCGTCTCCGCCCATCATTCTTCCTCAGGTCCGAACCGGATCTCTGATACTAGTTGTTGTGAAAAACGACGGCAATAAAGCGAAAAATTGAAACGAGAAAAATTGCACATAGAAAAAAACGCCAGAGCGACACACGGATTTGCGTGATTCAATAAGTTTGCCTACGTCCACAGAGCTGCAGAGGATTTATTTCTTCGAGGGATTACACCGTCGAGCGCCTCGACGTTTACAAGAAAATCTCTATTTTCTTCTCTCCCTTCCTCTCTCTCTCTCTCTTCATCTCTTTCTCTTAGCTCTCAAGATGACTTGATTTGGCCTTGTTTGGCTTTCATTTCATTTAAACCAAAAGAGACTATTTATAGAAACCATGAGAGTGGTAGATAAGAGACTATTTATAGAAACCATGAGAGCGGTAGATGGGAGGTAGGTGAACGGTAGGTGAGATATGAAGGTGAACGGGGGGTGGGTGTGGTAGATGAGCGCTAGGTGAGATACTTAATTAAGAAGTTAATTAAATTCAGTGAACCGGATCTCCACATTACCCAACACGGGGTTTGGTATGATGGTGAAACGCACAACCAACGAACAAAAGTTGCCACTAGACTCCACCATTAGGTTGAGAGTTCTGGTACAGCACTTTCTAATGCATGCTAAATGCAAGGTAGGGAAATATATAGACACTCGGCCTGCTATTAGTGGAGCTTCCTAGACAAACATCATTCAATGTTTTAATACATTTGCGAACGAATAATAAACATAAGGAATTCTTGCTTGCATACCCACCCAGTTCCTATGTATTTACATACATAACACCTAAACTTCTACTTTTACGTATATACCACCTTAACTATGCTTGAAAAGCTGTATTTCATTTTTTACAAGTTAGAACGGTGGTATTTTTACAAGTTAAAACGGTGGTATTTTTATGTGATATAAAAATTTTGAGTGGTATAAATGTAATACAAAATTTAGGTGATAATTTTTATGTGATATAAAAATTTTGAGTGGTATAAACGTAATAATGTAATACAAAATTTAGGTGATAGATATGTAAATAAATAAGAATTGGATGGTATGTATGTAAATGCCCCTAAACATGAATCAAACAAACGACTAAGAAATTATTAAAACCTATCTATTTAACTTTTGAGCTTCATAATTCTGAAGAATCTCTGGCAAAGAAATTCTTCAATCCTTTAAATTTAAAGTAATGTAAATATATAAATGGGAGAACGATAAATCATCAAATTTGTTGTGGATGGTCGATGGTTTGAATTCCGCTATAGTTAACAACAAAGCTTTGAATTCCACTCTTCCGAGTTTAGCAGCAAGAAAATAACAGGATTTATGAGTGATTTTAGCGTAGATAGACATAAATCCATCCAAATGCGAAAAAACATAAAATATATCCCACAATTTGCTAAAAATCCAAATCTTTCTCCTTCCGTTATTTTTTTGGCGCAAATACCGATTTACTAAATCTGATTTTTAGGTAAATTTAATGGATTTAGTGCACAAGAAGATTAAATCTCGATGAAATGTTAAACATAAGAGATGAAGCTAAGCGGATTTAAGTTAAATCATACCAAACATCTTTTTGAATTTAAAAACACCTGATTTTATAAATCTAGATTTATCGGATTTACCAAATCATACTTAACATAAATCCTCCTTGCAGCCAAACACCCCTTAAGAGAGATAAGAGCAATGTCAAGTCGTTTAGGATGGTAAATAAAAGCAACATTTAGAATGGATTGGCTCAATTTGTGCGAAAGGAAGTGTGTGGGCGGGGGCGGCAAACAAGTTGTAAAAAATCAGAGAAATACACAATCAGATGCAACACTGGTGATTCACACTTGGGTTAGCCATCAATGTGGGTTGAAGAGGACATGAGAAAAATTCCCCAAAAACAAAAAACAACTGAAAAAATGAGCAATGAACAATACCTGTCAAGAGATACATCATAAACCGTCCTTGTACTTCCTGATCTCCAATTTCCATAAACGACTTTAATAGCATCCTTCACAACAATTTCTTTGTTAACATAAATTGGAGCCTGCCCACAGTGATTTCCACTATAGATAAGATTCCCACATATTATAAATTCGAAGTTAATTCTGAGTCACGTCAAGATATACTTCCATAAATGGAAACTATTTGAAGAACTAAAAACAGCTCAAGCAAATGCATACAGTACCTTGAATTTTTCTGCCACATTTAATGCATCTGAAGGACGGGCGTCGATACTTATATTGGTATTATCTGCAGCCTGCAAATAATTAAATCAAAAGATAAAGTTTGATTCTCTAAGGGGCTATTTGATTTGCTGAAAAGGAATGTGGTGATAAAATAATATATTATATGTTAAATATCTTAAAATTGTTGGTTTAATGTAAATAAATGCAGGACTTCGATTTAAGAAAATAAATTCAATGTAAAATCAACCCGTTATGGTTGCAGTGGGGGCAAAGGGCCGATGGCGACGGGGGCGATGGGCGAGTAGCGATGGCGGCGGTGACCACGGGCAGCATTACTTTACATGAATAGTGTATTTGGAATTTGCTCAAATCTACCTAATTTCAGATACAATTGAGAATAAACTAAAGAATGAACTCCAAAAAAATTGGAATTTTATTTTTCTCCCAAACAATACGTTTTATTTTTTAAAACACCTACAAAAGGAATACAATACACTCATTCTGTTACAGACCAAACAACCCCGAAGTAGCTAGTAAAATAAGAGCACACACAATGAACGAAGCTCCCTTTAATGCAAAGTCTGAGGATGGCTTATTGTACACAATATCTGATACTTTTCGATGCAAAGAGGTTCTTTATGTGACTCAAACATGAAACCTCCAAAACAAACTAGAGGAAGGTTAACCACTGCACCATACCCGCCTCTCTGAGAAATCACTTATACTGACTATCATATTGGATCACCTAATTTGAAATTTACTATGCATTAATTCCAAAAATAATGCATCCTGGCAAACATCCCCAAGTTGTACTAGACTAGGACAACAAGAAGACCCATTGATGGTCCTATAAAAAGTAAACATTGCCCTTGTGTAGGTCGTAACAGTGACATTCATCCCCATCCCAACCCCATCCTGGGGATACCTATCAAAATTTATTTAGAATATCTATAAAAAAAAATGATCACTCTCCAAAACCTTTCTGAGATATACACGTGCATAGTATGTGTTGACCACCCTGTCTGTAAGACGCACCATCTTTACCTGAAAAGCAAAAAAATTCCTTCATGAGGATCAAATCAAATCGTTATAAATCAATATGTCCAATTAACTTCTTATGTGAATTAGTACATTTTCATAATTGAATATGAATCGATCATTTCTTAATACCTTCTTTCCTATAATCACAAATTTGCAAAGAAAAATGGTAAAGATCATTGAATCAACCCAACAATTTTCTTATTTACACTCATAAAATAAGGTGCACTGCCTGCCACAACACAATCTGCATCAACTCTATCACATATGATAGAAGTCAATGAAGGTGTTAGCTGCTTAGATCAACAAGTCAAAAAACCCGAGCTTAAGCTATTTTTTGAACTCTTATATGAGAAGTTTAATGAATTTCTGTGCAAAATTATTGACCATATAATTTGAAATGACAAGTTATTCAGCTAAAATCAATCATCATAATATTTTGGACCGAAAGTCCTTACACGGAGCATTACGCGGACATTAGCTTCGATAATAAGTCAGCTCTCTTCTTTTCCTTCTACATTAAGCCCTAGGGTACAACAACGAATATAAATAAAACATCCCCAAAGAGTTTCATCCAGTAAAAATTAGTGTCATAGAAATTCTAACCTCATAGCCGAATTTTATCACAATATTTTTGACAAATTGAAGCAGATTTGGGCATTCCTGCATTAAGCTCATATAAGAACCAGCAAACAAGTTGAAAAGTAAAGATCAACAAGATACCTCATGTTCTTCACCAGCAATAGAATCAATGAGCCTAATAATAGCAAATTCTCCTATATAAAAAAATAAAAATAAATAAATCATTAGTCCTTAAAATAAAAAGAAAAGTTTTGAAGCTAAAAAATAAAGCATGATTCCATAAACAGAAACTATTGGTAATCATAATTGCATACCTACAATTATAGGCAATAACAGGCCACCATCACAAGCAAGTTTTAGAAAAATAGTCGGACTCTGAAATCTCCTCAGAAACCCATGACCAATAGAATCAACGTTGAAGTCTACTTCTCTTCTATGACTATAAAAGAGAGATTTTTTAGCACCTGAATGCCACTTATTCTCCTTTATAAAACCCAGCTTCCACAAGTTGTAGTGCCTGATCGTTTCTGCATGAGAACTCATTGCGAGAAATAACAACGTAAAGGGGGTGCTTAATGGCTGAAATAAGAAAGAGAAAAGCGAACTTTTATCAACTAAAATGGCTGATGCATAATTGAGAAAACGGTGGTGAAGAAGATGCATAAAAGTATATAACCCTCAACCCATTTTTTATCTTACAACACTAAAACATAAATCATGATGCCTCCCAGCACAATGAGTTCAAGGGCCGTTTGTCCTTAGCATCAAAAGAAGTGGGATAATGCAACAGTGATTGCTGATAATTATGTATCTTGGGGAAAAAAGTATGCAATCCTAAGAAGAAAACGAGAGGGGAAGTAATGGTACATAAAACTAGGAGAGAGTAATGGGGAACACATTCCACGGAGTGGGAGGTACAGAAATGGAGGATTCAAGCTATAAGGATTTGTAGCAAAAATCTCCGACTAATTCATACAATTCTAAGTCCCTCTATATATAGAAAAGTGTCCTCTGTACATATCGCAACGTTCAAAAAAAAATGAGAAAATACACGGTTTGCCCTTATTACATATTTAACATGAATATATTTAAAAAATGATGAAAACTATTTGTTCATGAACACATGGTGAAGATCTGTTTAGGAAAGAACAGCCAGCTGTGATGGTAAAGAAAATAGTTACTAAGAACTAGGAATTTGCTGGTAACATCAAAGTTACGCCAAAGCATAGAAAACTAGGGATTAAATATCATACATTACATTATAATGCATATGACACGTACCAACATGTAGAAGAATTACTAAGATAGTTAATAAGAATCAGGAAGTTGCAAGTACCATCAAAGTTATGTCAAAGCATAGAAACATAATAATTAAATATCAGATATTACATTATAATAAATATAGTCTAATTAAACAAGTCGTCTATCATGAACAGGATTAAAGGAGTTCAATGATCTCCTCATTATCAGGAGAGATGCAAAACGTTCCTCTAATACAATTACATGACCTGTTATATGAATGTTTGTCCAATATAATTCAACATCATAGATGGCATAAACTGTTGCGTTCAAAATCAAAAGGCTATACAGTCCATCAGAATTTAGATAGATATCAAACCAAAAGCTAAAATTACAGTACAAGATGTTTGTAATATATGTTCCTTGAACCAAGCCATAAACCATAGAAGCTACAATTTGACTTGAAACATTCGGTTTAACATTCACTAGTCCAATAATGAGCTGCCAATACCAAGCAAATCAAACAAGGAGCAGGTAAGTATCATCAATGAATCCAATAAAAGTAATATTCGCTAAATTTGACGAAAAGTAACGATAATCATTCAATCAAATATTCCCAGATTTCCTCACATAAGCTATCTCGTTAAATTGAGATCCGTTTAGACACCATACTCTAAATTCGCAAACCCTTTACCCCGATCTCTTTACTTCCCGAACAAGCATGTTAATTATGCACCGAAGCCCCAATTCATGAAGTGAAACAGTAATCGGCAAATAAGAAAACGCATGGATAGCAATAAAACCTGGAAGGAGAAGCAAGGCCTGGGTGTATTGCTCGTTGTCGTCGTCATCGGTCACGTCAGATCCAGCACTCTCATTTCCAGAAGCCACCCTGCACGAACCAAGGGTGCATCTGGATTGCAGCAACCCGCAGCAGCTCCGCTTCCGGCTCAAAAACAGAGAAAACGGCACCGTGGATTTCGAGCAAGAGAGGAGGCCGAAGGAACGATCCGCGCAGCTAGGGTTCTGAGCCGAGCAGATCCTTGAAGAGAATGAGGGAGAAGAGAATTGAGGAGAGAAATAGGAATTGGGAGTGAGAGGAGAAGGGAGATGGACTCTGACGAACATCGCTGAAGTGGAAAGCACAATCCCCTCTCATGGGACGAGCCGGGAGAAAAGGGCGGAATATTTCGAACGGCAGAAGATTTCTATGCATATTTATAAGGGATTCTGAGACATAATCACACACAAAACATTGTTATTACCGTATTTCACGCTACAATATTATGAAATTCACATTTTCACTATTATTCTCATTCCTCCTCATCGCACCATAAAATCTTAGCGAAGCTATAGAATGGGTGGGAATTCTATTATTCTCATTCCTCCTCATCGCACCATAAAATTATACGTCTCCAACGTGTCATATGATGATCTTCTTCAACGGGGCTGCTTCCTTTAAGGGGCTGGTCTTAGCGAAGCTATAGAATGGGTGGGAATTAGAGAGATTGTTGTGAGTGTCTTCTGTGGTCAGAAGGAGAGATGTGTTCTCGGAAGAGTTGCAGCGTGGATGGGATTTTGCTAGCAACAAGGGAGGTAGGTGTGTGTGGGTGCGACGGGAGTGATTTCAGTGAGAGTCGGATGGATAGGTGGCGTTGGCGTTAGAGTGAAAACAGGTATAGTGTGTGGCCACGGTCTAATTGTGTTGGATCAAATGGGGAGGTCAGAGTTGTGTGAAGAGTGGTGTCAATTCAGGTTAACAAATCGAGTTTGTGTCTGACCCAAATAGGAGTAATCCGAACCTTACCTGAATAAACCCGACCCAAACCCGAGCATGACCCACTAACTGAACCCCACACAAACTTTCATACTTATTCGGGTTATGTTTTAGTTTTTGAGTTAAACCGAACTCGACCCAAATAATAAATAGGTCGAATTCTCTGACCCGAACTTGAATTGAAAAATTTTAGGGTCAACCCTAACCCGGATTTTTGATACCCCCTATGTGTGAGGAAGGGTTGCCCGGCAAGTTGGTCGGAGCTGTGTGGTTTTGCCAACATGTGGGTCGCTATCGGAGCAACACGAGCGGGAAACTGAGAGGTGCGATAGAGAGAGACGGAAGTGTGGATGTGTATGTACGTAAAAACTGCTATTTATAAAAGATTTGAGTTCATTCATTGAGAAAAAGAGAAAATAGTACGGAGCTCCGAACCTAAACCAAATTGATCAAAGAGTCTAATATCATAGTAAATAATATAAATTCATAGTATAAATGAGGATTTATTTACAAGCCACATAATTCTTCTATCTAACCTTTAATTTTTTATATTTAATTTTATAAATTATAAAACTCAATCATTATAACAATGCAAGAACTATCAACAAAGAAGAATTCATGCTCAATATATCCATCCAAAATATGTATTACATAGGTAGCCTTCAAGACATGCAATGAGCATCAATTCTCTAAATGGATGAAGTGAAAAGCACTGAAGTTTTAAGTATATGTTTGGGGTATTTCATCTTACTATTTAGCTTGTCATATCGCTTTAGCAATTAGGTTTGGTTATTGCATTTTTGTTATTTCCTTGAATTTTTTATGATGGGAAGTTGTTTCTTACAGTCAAAATTCCCGAGTTATGGTAACTGTGAGTAAAAAAATTGTTTGAAACATTTGAAAATGAAAATATTTATAATACCAACAAGTACTTTCAAAAAATATTTTCTTTACAAAGAATTTACAATCATATTTACCAAGTGGTGCAGCCACCTCAAACCTATCATAAGTACGAGACTTTCTACCTCACTTAGGGTCTGTTTGAGGCAACTGTATGTTTGAGGCAGCTGCAGCGGTTTGAAGATACAGTTGTGAAGCTGTTGCAAAAGTTGTTCAAAAATTTGCGATGACTATTACAAATTTATTTTAATCTAAAAAGTCAGATCACAGTTTTATAGCTGACACAATACTGTAACATGTTATATTAAAAAAAACAACTTTATACTACATAAATTTCTAGAAAACTACAGCAAAATTTGTTCCCCAAACATAAATACAGTGGTGGTCTGAAAAGCAAAGGTGCGAGAAAGGTGTCCCAAACGGATTGTTAGGCTTTAATGATCTAAAAGTGAAACTCTAAATTTTGTTATAAATATGCTAAATACAAAAAATCTATACATATAATGGAAAAATAAATCTTTGGTTGTCAGCTCAACATGCTTGCATCTAACTAAATCATAGATAGCCAATTGAATGCTACAAAATATCCAAAGGCAGTCATATTAATAGACAAAACTAAAAAATCACAGTTGTTGATAGAATACCTACCATTTAATGGGCTCTTCAAATAAAGTGAGATCATTGTCATCGTTCTTGACAAAGAAAGTAAGAAATTAGGGATCAAATCATGTAGTATCTTGATGCTCCTTAATCAATAACTTACCACAAATGAAGAGCCTTCTAATGATCCTAAAAGATATAGGAAGTTAGTGACAAAATATTTATAGGCCCCTTTTACTACAAAGCAAGGATATCCTTACACCTATGTTAATATCTCCTCAACATTATCTTTCATTGCATCATAAGGGTGCACTCTAACCTCTCAGAGAGTTTAAGACCTGTGGTGCAACACATTTATGTCTTTTTATAGTTTATTATAAAGCCTATTATACTTAAGTGACTATTATATTTATAGCTTTACAAATATGATTTGTTAGAGTATATACATTTTTTTTCTTATATACTAGGCTTGGTTTTGAAGCCACAAACGAGAACTATGGAAGAAAAGAATTTTCCAAAAGAGGCTTTCGGCCCATGTAATATGGGCCGATGCTATGGGTTCTATATGAAACTTCATACCACTTGGGATCCAAAGGGTGGTAAAACGCATATATTGGTCATTGTTTACCTTTTTTTTTTTAACCTTATGCCAATATTATTTTTTATGTATTTCATTATTATTTTAATAAAAAAATTTGAAAAAAAAAATAAAAATAGCTGAGGAATTGTTTTCTAAATTTTTGAAATTACATTAAAACATTGTTTTTTTTTTACAAAAGCAGAAAATGTAGAAATGTATAAATATATAATATTTATATTAGCATATTACTAATATAGTATATTCATATATTATTATTATTATTTTATTATATATTATAATTTATAAAATTTAATTTTTAAAATATAATAAATTTTTTATATATAATTATT